GGAGGGGAATTGCTTGAACTGGAAGGTGGAGGTTGCAGTTAGCTGAGATTGCCCCACTGTACTCCAGCCTGGCTACAGAGTAAGACTCTGTCTCAAAAAAAAAAAAAAAACCCAAAACAAAAAAACCCTGAATTTGATTGCTGTGGTTAAGAGAATATTTTCATTTTTAATAAAGATACACTGAAGTATCTTTTGAGAGATAAACAGACATGATGAATACAACCTACTCACAAATGGTACAGAATGTTTCAGTAATGTACAAATAGAGTGTTATATACAAATATAAAAAAAGGTATGGAAGGATACACATTAAAATCTTAACAATGAAGAAATGAGAGGATGAGAGTACTGTGAAGGTGGACTTTTTAGTATATTGCTCAAAGTTTTGACAGCATATATTCAAGTAGTTTATAATGCATCAGAAAGAAACTGTCTGGCCAGCACTTTTGGAGACCAGGGTGGGCAGATCGCCTGAATTCAGGAGTTTGAGACCAGCCTGGGCAACATAGTGAAAGCCTGTCTCTATAAAAATTACAAAAATTAGCCAGCCACAGTGGCATGCACCTGTAATCCCAACTATTCAGGAAGTGGAGGTAGGAGAATTGCTTGAGCCTGGGAGATGGAGGTTGCAGTGAGCCAAGATTGTGCCTTTGAACTCCAGCCTGGGTGACAGCTTGGGACCTTGTCTCAAAAAAAAAAAAAAAATTGTCACATATTTTTTGTTTTAACTTGTGACTTTTAATTTTGAGTTATTAAAATCATTAGTAGTTCCATTTGTTGGTTCATCTTTTGAGAGTGTAAGAAAATAATCTGTAAAAGTATGTTATTTGAACTTTTGAAACTTTATAAAGGCAAATTCTCTAAAAAAAAGTAATGCCACTGAGATGAGGTGAGGTGAGATGAGGTTGGAGTATTTTCCTTTTACAAAATCTTGTTTAAATTTTCATAAAGTGTTTTTTGATTATAAATTTTCTTATTTGCTTTTCACTTTTTTGAGACAGGGGGTCTCACTCTTGCCCAGGTTGGAGTGCAGTGATGTGATCATAGCTCACTGCAGCCTTGAACTCCTAGGCTCAAGTGATCCTCCTGCCTCAGCCTCCCAAGTATCTAGGACTCCAGGCACACACCACCATACTTGGCTATTTTATTTTATTTAGAAGGATCTTTCTTGTTGTCCATGCTGGTCTCTTAACTCCTGGGCTCAAGTGATCCTCTCCTCTTGGCCTCCCAAAGTGCTGGGATTACAGGCATGAGCCACCATGCTTGGCCCAATGTAAATTTTATTGACATCAGACATTTTTATAGTACGTGTGTAAGCCATAAATTTGTGATTTGATGAATTTTCATGACGTTGGTAGACTTGGGTAATCAGTGCTGAGATCAAGGACAAGAATATTATCGCTATATAATATAAAGTGCACAGGAAGAAACCCCTTCTCTTTACCAGTGCCCACTCTCCGTAGAGCACTTACTGTCCTGACTTCTAACATCATAGATTAGTGTTGCTTGTTTTGAATTTCATACGAATAGAACCATAAAGTGTGATTTGTTTTTGTGTGCCTAGCTTCTTTTGTGTTTACTTTGTTTGTTCTGCTGAATCATATTCCATTATGTGACTATACCAGATTTGCCTGTTATAATACTGATGGATGTTTAGGTTATATCAGTTTTTTTGGCTTTCAGAAGCAGTGCAGCTATAAACATTCTTGAACATTCTTTTGGTGATAATTTGTATTAATTTCTGTTGGCCATATTCTCAGAAGTGGAAATGCCAGACACTGTGAGGTTCTTCCATCAAGAATGAATCTGAGGTCATACAATAAGGAGAGACAGAGAGAGATCCAAGATGGCTGATTACTAGCAGCTCAGGATTGTAGCTCCCAGTGAAAGTGCAGAAAACAAGAGGATGCAACACTTTCAGATGAATTTTTGTTGCTCATGGACCAGGAGATTCCCAGTGGAGGAGCCCCACGGGTCGCCAGCGTGACTCTTGTGGCCGGTGTGGCAGTTTTGCCGGTGCCCTTGTGTGGCAGTTCTTGGTGCAGAGTAAATGGGACTGGGTTCCCTTTTGGTCGACATTTGGAGCTCTGGGAAGGCAGAGTCACCTACTCAGCTGATTGAAAAGGGGACTCAAGAAGGAAGCCAGACTGGAGATTCCTGGGCAGAAAAGCACCACGAATCTTAATGCTGCTGTTTTGGCTGGTGCAGTGGGTTGCTCAGATTCCGGCACTGGGAATCAATAAGTTGGACATCCACTCAGAGACCTAATTTGAAAATCGGTAATTACAAAGATGACAGGTGGATAAATTTACAATGATGGGAAGAAACCAGCATAGAAAGGCTGAGAATACCCAAAATCAGAATGCTGCTCCCTCTATAGGGGATCACAGTTCCTCATCAACAAGCGAACAAGGCCTCATGGAGAATGAGTGCCTTCCATTAACAGATTTAGGCTTCCGTAGGTGGATAATGAGAAATTTCTGTGAGTTCAAAGAATGTGTTCTAGCCCAATGTAAAGAAACTAAAGAGCCTTGAAAAAAGGTTTGACGAAATCCTAATGAGAATAGACAATGTAGAGAGGAATATAAGTGAATTAATGGAACCGAAGAATACAATACGAGAACTCTGCGAAGTATGCACAGGTTTTAACAGTCGAATTGACCAAGCAGAAGAAAGGATATCAGAGGTCGAAGACCAACTTAATGAAATGAAATGAGAAGACAAGATTAGAGAAGAAAGAGTAAAAAGGAATGAGCAAAGTCTCCCAGAAATATGGGACTATGTGAAAAGACCTAATTTACATTTGATAGGTGTACCTGAATGTCATGACGAGAATGAATCCAAGTTGGAAAATATTCTTCAGGATATTATTCAGGAAAACTTTCCTAACCTAGTAAGATAGGACAATATTCAACTTCAGGTAATACAGAGAACACCACAAAGATATTCCTCAAATAGAGCAACCCCAAGATACATAATGGTTAGATTCACCAGGGTTGAAATAAAGGAGAAAATTCTAAGGGCAGCTAGAGAGGAAAGTCAGGTTACCCATAAAGGGAAGCCTGTCAGACTCACAGCAGATCTCTCAGCTGAAACCCTACAAACTAGAAGAGAGTGGAAGTCAATATTCATATCCTCAAAGAAAAAAATTTTCAACCCAGAATCTCATATCCAGCCAAATTAAGCTTCATAAAAGAAGGAAAAATAAAATTTTTCACAAACAAGCAAACACAGACCATTTCATCATTACCAGGCCTGCTTTACAAGAGCTTCTGAAAGAAGTACTATACACAGAAAGGAACAACCAGTATCAGTCATCCCAAAAACTTACCAAAAGGTAAAGAGTATCTCCATAATGAAGAATCTGTATCAACTAATGGGCAAAATAGCCAACTAGCATTAAATGACAATGTTAAACTCACAAATATCGATATTAATCCTAAATTTAAATGGATTAAATGCCCCAATCAAAGACACAGACAGGCAAATTGAAGAAAAAGTCAAAACCCATTGGTTTGCTGTATGCAGATCCATCTCATAAGTAAGGACACACAAAGACTCAAAACAAAGGGTTGGTGGAAGACTTACCAATCAAATGGAGAGCAAAAGAAACAAAGAAGGACATTACATAATGGTAAAAGGATCAATGCAACAACAGGAGTCAATGATCATAAATATATATGCACCCAGTATAGGAACATCCAGATACATAAGACAAGTTCTTAATGACTTATAAGGAGACTTGGACTCCCGCACAATAATAGCGGGAGACTTTGATATTACATTGTTAACATTCGACGGATAAATGAGATAGAAAATTAACAGGGACATCTATGATTTGAACTCAGACCTGCAACAACTAAACTCAGTGAATATTTATAGAATTCTTCACCCCAGGTCCACAGAACATACATTTTTCTCAGTATCAGATTATACCTATTTTGAAAGTGACCACATAATTGGAAGTAAATCACACTTCAGCATTTCCATAGCATTTCACAGACTTAAATGAAATACTGGTTGGCTGTTTGTTATTTTCTTCCCTTATTCCTTCCTGTCTTCGCTGTTAAGCACAATTGTCGGCATAAAAGAGGTTTTTAATACCTATTTTTAGATTGCATTCCAGCCTGGGCAATAGAGCAAGACTCCTGTTCTCTCTCCCCCTTTCTCTTTCTCTTTCTTTCTTTCCAAACACACACACACACAGAAAAAACCCTCTTTTTTCTTATCCCATTTCCCCAGCTGCTATTGCTGTTTATTTTCTTCCCTTTTCAGTATCTCTCAAAACTGTTGTCTGCATCTGATGTCTCCAACATTTCTTTTCCAATCTTCTCTCATATCCTGTTCAAACATGCTTGTCTCAAAAAAAAAAAAAATGAATCTGAATAGGTATGTTCAGTACAAGTTGACACTTCAAAGCAGCCTTCCAAAGTGATCTTACTAATTTTATACTCCAATATTGTATGAGTCTGTATCCTCACCATACTTGGTATTGACTACTTTTTTCTTTTTTTCCCATTCTGCTAAACGTGTAGTATGCATTGTGATTTTAACTCCATTTCCCTGATGGCTGTTGAGGCTGAGCACCTCTTTATGTGCTTATTGGCCATTTGGATGTGCTCTTCTGAAGTGTCTAAGTTTTTTGCCCATTTTTGGTTTTTATTAATATGTAGGAATTTTAAAATATAATTTGGTTATGAGCCCTTTGTTGAATATAGTTATTACAAAAATCTCTCAGTGATTTGCTTTTTACTTTCTTACAGGGTGGTTTCTTTTTTATAGCAGAAGTTCTTAAATTTGTTATAGACCTGTTTATAGTTGTTTTCCTTTATACTTAGTGGTGGTATATGTGTATATATGTAGTTATGTTTAAGATATCTTCGCTCATGAGATTTTATTTCATTTTTATATTTTTTTCTGGACTCAATATTAGATATGTTACTTTATTCTAAAAAAAAAAATCAATTTTCCTTCCCTTCCCCTATTTTCTCTCTCTCCAGAGTGGGTATTAAGGACATTGCTGGTATACATTTGCCAACAAATGTGAAATTTCAGAGTCTGGCTTATTCTTCTGTAGATACTGAAGAAACAACTGAACCTTATACAACTGAAAAGATGAATCAAGTTCCTGGAGGATATTTGGCTTTGACAGAGTGCTTTGAAATTATGACAGTAGATTTCAACAACCTTCAGGTGAAAAAGAATTTGGTTACTATATTCAAGCACTAAATTTCATGCACTGTTTAAAATAATATATAGGACAGTCTTATTTTATGAGTTTGCATGAGATTCCACTTACTGTATGTAAAGAAAATGATTAAAGAGTAATTAGAATTTCTTGCTGAAATTATTCTCTTACTTACTTAATTTATTTTGAGACAGTGTCTTGCTCTGTCACCCAGGCTGGATTACCATCTCAGCTCACTGCAGCATCAACCTCCTGTGTTCAAGCAGTCCTCCTGCCTTAGCCCCCAATTAGCTACAGGCATGTGCCACTGTGCCTGGCTAATTTTTGTATTTTTAGTAGAGATGGGGTTTTGCCATGTGGCCCAGGCTGGTCTTGAGCTCTGAACTTAGGTAGTCTGCTGACATTGGCCTCCCCAAGTGCTAGGATTACATGCATAGGAGCCACCATACCCAACCTGCTTACTTTAACTACAGAGAACCTCCCCTGACCCTCCCACCCCATTCTTAGGCAACTTTTAACATACTGCCATACAATTATAATTATCCTTGTGTTGTGCAGATGAGGAAATTGTTGCTCACATTAAATAATTTCCCCCCAAATTATTCAGCATATGAATACGGGGGCAGGGATTCTAATGTAGGTCTTTCTGACTTTTCTCTGTATCATGCTGCCATTTCAAATTAACAAAATGAACAATAATCGAAATCTCAAAGTTATATGTTTATTATGGTGACCAGCCTTCATGGTTTGCCCAGGACTGAAGCGGGTTCCAAGACTTGGGACTTTCTGTTTTGAAACCAATACAGTCCCAGGAAAAGCAGGAGAAGTTGATTACCCTGGTGTGTATATGTGTGTGTTGGTGAATGGTGTGAGGATGTTCTGTATAAGGAAAGTGCCCAAAGAAATTGGAAAGGTTACATGGAATTTTCTAAAGGTCTTTAATAGGTAAAGTTAAATGTTCAAGTCCATAACTGTTATAAGTGAAACCTGTTTGGAGATAGAAGACTTTGTGAGGGTAATTTTAGCCTAAGTTGTTGTTGTTTTTTGAGACAGAGTTTCACTCTTGTTTCCCAGGCTGGAGTGCAATGGTGCCATCTTGGCTTACTGCAACCTCTGCCTCCCAGGTTCAAGAGATTCTTTTGCCTCAGCCTCCTGAGTAGCTGGGATTATAGGCACCTGCTACCACAAGTGGCTAATTTTAGTAGAGACAGGGTTTCACCATGTTGGCCAGGCTGGTCTCCAACTCTTAACTTCCGGTGATCCACCCACCTTGGCCTCCTAAGGTGCTGGGATTATAGGTGTGAGCCACCTCTCCTGGCTAGCCTAAGATTTTCATAATTTAATAGAAGCTTTCATTTATTATTTGTCACAGCATTTTTCTTGAGGTGATCTGGAACTAATTTAACAATTTGGCCTTGCTTACTGAGGCTGAGCTTTCTGAGCTTCAAGAGCATTCCTTACCTGTTCTGACTTTCAGTGGCAAATAACATGTTTGTAGCTGCCAATTACCCCCAAAATATCCTTTTATTATTTTAAGGCCTTTTAAAATTTTAATTTTTCTTATCCACTGCCAGTTACCCCCCAAATATCCTTTTATTATTTTAAGGCCTTTAAAAATTTTAATTTTTCTTATCCACGCACACAAATCTTATTAAGGTTTTAATTTCAAAAGTCTTGCCTGCCTGTTTAATACTTCCAAGCAATACAGGATAGAAAGGAAAAAGTCCTAGTATTTTTCTTACTTTTTTTTTTGAGACTGAGTCTTGCTCTCTAATCCGGCTGGGGTGCAGTGGCATGATCTTAGCTCACTGCAACCTCCACCTCCCGGTTCAAGCGATTCCCCTGCCTCAGCCTCCAGAATAGTTGGGACTACAGGCGCATACCACCATGCGTGGCTAATTTTTTTGTATTTTAGTAGAGTTTCACCCTGTTGGCAAGGATGGTCTTATCTACTGACCTCATGATCCGCTTGCCTTGGCCTTCCAAAGTGCTGGGATTACTGGCATGAGCCACCACGCCCAGGCATTTTTCTTCCTGTTTAAAATTTTAACCCTTTTTTTTGCCAGGTCACTAGTTTGAACTGTATCTTTCCAGACTTGCTTTTCTATTCTTACACACACACACACACACACACACACACTCTCTCACACACATACACACACACACACACAGACACAGACTCTTTCTCTCTCTCCCCCCCGCCACTTCCTTTCTCTCCCTGCCCCCCACCCCCTTCTATTTTTTAAACAAAACAATCCCCACTACTTTGTCACTTAACCTTTTTCATTCAACAATATATTGTGGACTAATTTCCATACTAGCAATATATATCTGCCTCTTTGTATTTAATAATAGCTGCATGGTATTCCAGTGAAATAGGTCAGAGCTTCCCAACCAGTATGCCTACATGGTTAATAGGTGTGCCAAGATACCGAATCCCCAAGGGAGCTGGGCAGGACTAAGAACTCCAGAGATGGACAATGGTAAGATACTGAGGTATGAACATATGAAATGTATAAAACCCTTTCATTCCTTTTACATTTTTCTCAGGAATTAAAAAGTCTTGCATCTAAAAGGCCTGATAAGATTGGTATTCCTGTTATTAAAGAAGGCACACTAGATGCTATTATGGTTTGGTTTGTGCTCCAGCTTGATGATGAACATAGTTTATCCACCAGTCCTAGTGAGGAAACATGTTGGGAACAGGCTGTCTACCCCATACAGGACCTGGCAGGTAGGTCTTGTCAATTTTTTTTTTTTAAACCTCTTGCTTTAATCTTCTAAGTATTTGAGTCAGTGGCAAAATAATAATAATAAGAAATAAAATAAATAAATAATAACTCTGCTGCATAGCACTCCAAAAGCCTATCATTAAATTATTTCTTCAGCTCTGATTTTTCTAGTTGCCAGTAGATGAAAGAAATCCTCCTCCATTATTTCATGGAAAGTAATGGAAAAGTATTGCTTTTAGTGCAGAAGTTCTTACTCCTTAGAGAAGCTGATGACGTCTGTGGAGCCCCAGATCAAAGAAAATGTACACACTCATATAAGCACAAAATTTTTCAGTTTTAGAGAGTTCATGGATCTGGTATTAAAGATTTTTTTTTAGTAGGAATTTTTTTTACAGTAATGTGATAGGTTTCAGTAAGTTTAAAGCAGATGAATTACACAGAAAAAACTGCCCTTTTTAGGCTGGGTATGGTGGCTGACACCTGTAACCCCAGTACTTTGGGAGGCCCAGGTAGGAGGACTGCTTGAGGCCAGGAGTTTGAGACCAGCCTGGGCAGCATAGCAAGACTTCATTTCTACAAAATAGTAATAAAAAAAATAACTGGGCATGGTGGCAAGTGCTCGTAGTCCAAGAAGGATCCCTTGAGTCTAGGAGGTTGAGGCTGCGGTGAGCCAAGATTGTAACACTGAACTCTAGCCTGGGCAGTAGAGTAGTGTTGCCCACACACACCACACACACATATACACACACACACACACACACACACATGTGCCCACACACACACACAGAAAAACTCTACCCTTCTTAAACTGGAAGTTAATACATCAATTTCTGTTTAGTTTCTTAATCAAGGATCTAATTTGGCAAGGTCATAAAGGCCTGGAATTAGTATATTGTTGTGGCTAGTATGTTGTTTTTAGAGTCAGGTAGATTTGGATTTAGTTCTTGTCTCTGCTACTTACAGATTCCCTCCTGGTCATCCTTGCCAGTTGTTTTTTTAGAGTTTTTGTTGTATCATATATAAAAATGGGACAATACCATTTATCTTGCAGCACACATAGAGATTATTAGAGATAGTGGGTGTAAAATGCCTACCACAGTGACTGGCACTCAGTAAATAACAGTTTTTACTTGTGTTTGTTTTAACTCTCTTTTTTTTTTTTTGAGACGGAGTTTTGCTCTTGTTACCCAGGCTGGAGTGCAATGGCGCGATCTCGGCTCACGGCAACCTCCACCTCCTGGGTTCAGGCAATTCTCCTGCCTCAGCTTCCTGAGTAGCTGGGATTACAGGCATGCACCACCATGTCCAGCTAATTTTTTGTATTTTTAGTAGAGACGGGGTTTCACCATGTTGACCAGGATGGTCCCGATCTGTTGACCTCGTGATCCACCCGCCTCGGCCTCCCAAAGTGCTGGGATTACAGGCTTGAGCCACCGCACCTGGCCCTGTTTTAACTCTCTTATACCTGTAGTAACTTAGATAGATGGCCTTTTGTTTTTAATCGTTAGAGAAAGGACATTTACATGTTTAAACATAAGAATAGCAATTTGTGGCTGGGCTCTGTGGCTCATGCCTGTAATCCTAGCACTTTGGGATCCTCCTGCTGAGGTAGGAGGATTGCTGGAGTTCAGGAACTTGAGACCAGCCTGGTCTCTACTAAAAATTAAAAAAATTCAGGCATGGTGGCAAGCGCCTTTAGTCCCAGCTAGTTGAAAGATAGCTTGATCCCTGAGATTGAGGCCACAGGGATCATACTGCACTCCATCCAGCCTGGGCAACAGAGCAAGACACTGCCTCCAAAGAAGAACCAAAAAACAAACAAAATAGAGTAACAACTTGTATTTTCTACTGGTACCAGGGCTAATGAGAAGAAATTGCGATCATACATTTATACGTTTACATTGAAAAATGTCACCACATGTAGGCCAGACACAGTGGCTCATGCCTATAATCCCAATTGGAAGGCTAAGGCAAGAGGATCACTTGAGCCCATGAGTTCAAGATCAGCCTGAGTAAAATAGCAAGACCTCATCTCTATTAAAAAAAAAATATGGGTGTGGTGGCCTGCATCTGTAGTCCCAGCTACTTGGGAGGCTGAGGCAGGAGAATTGCTTGAACCCAGGAGTTGGAGGCTGCAGGGGGCCATGTTACGCCACTGCATCGCAGCCTGGGTGACAGAGTGAGACCTTTCTCAAAAGACAAAACAAAAGTTTTCCCACATATGAAAGGAGTATGATATGTGGTCTTTATTGGAAGACTTAGTTCTTCGTTATACTTTCAAGTTCCTAGACATGCAAGAGTGTCTAAAATACAGTTAAGAAGTATTACTGATATGATTCTGTTGAATGTTATCTTGTTCTTTTGGAAATTTCTCTTAGTGAAAAGAATATCCCTTTAAAGTGAGGTTTGATATTTATCCCTGAATTTTATCTTTGTTGCTATCTTTGGTGGAGCACTGTCCCCTGCAGTACTCCACCAAACCCCCAATTTGGGAATATGGAGAGACCTAGTGATTGCAGTAAAAACACTATCATACTGATAGCCTTAGGGTCAATAATGGGGCTTGTGAATGTCTCCATTATGCTACTGGTTAATTGAGTCTTCAGACTTCACTTTTCCCTAAGTAAAGCTGGTAGGGTTTTCCTATTTTTTTTTTGTATATGAAATGAATGTTTGTAATCCTTTCTATAGTGATTTAAAGAATGGGAGGTTAAATGGAGGATGGAGATCCTCATTTATGTGATCCTCAGGCTTGTAAGTACTCCTTATTAATTTTTTCTTTCTTTCTATTTAATGTAGACTATGGGATAAAGCCTGGAGACCATGTGATGATGGAAGTGTCTTGTCAAGACTGTTACTTAAGAATCCAGAGTATTAGTGTCTTGGGTTTGGAATGTGAAATGGATGTTGCAAAAAGTTTTACCCAGAATAAAGACTTGTTATCATCAGGAAATGAGGCTGAACTTTGTAATGCCCTCGCTAACCTTCAAACCAGTAAACCAGATGCTGTAGAGCAGACGTGTGTATTGGAATCTACAGAAATTGCTTTGCTAAACAACATTCCATATCATGAAGGCTTTAAAATGGCAATGAGGAAAGTTTTGTCTTCACTGACTCCAGAGAAACCGTGCCAGACCATGGATACTCACTGTCAGAATAATGAGATGAGCTCTGGAACAGGGCAGAGTAATACTGTACAGAGCATCCTTGAACCTTTCTATGTGTTAGATGTGTCTGAAGGCTTCTCTATTCTGCCTATTATTGCTGGCACACTTGGGCAGGTTAAACCATACAGCTCTGTGGAGAAAGACCAGCATCGGATTGCTCTGGACCTCATATCTGAAGCCAATCACTTTCCTAAAGAAACACTTGAATTTTGGCTGACACATGTGGAGGATGAATCTGCTATGTTACAAAGGCCAAAATCAGACAAGTTATGGAGCATAATTATATTGGATGTCATTGAGCCATCTGGGCTCATTCAGCAGGAAATAATGGAAAAAGCTGCAATATCCAGGTAAAACACAAAATAATAACTTCTGGCTTTTTTTTGAGCTCAAATTTTATATAAATTCCTTAAGTTCTTTAATGGCATAACCGTAAAAATAAGATCATTGTATGCTCCTCAAGTATTATTTTTCAGGACCCGTGACTTTATTTGATGCTAAAATCATCCCAGGTATGGCCAGTGGGAGCTCCTTTAAACTAGTTCCTATGTCTTTTTGACACGTTCCCATAATTCTTTGAGCATGTTCTTACTTTGGTGCAACCAGATGTTTTATTTTCATCCCCGAGCTTAGAGTCTTAGAATCAGTCTTTCTACAAAGGACTCTGGTTCCTTTTAGTGGAGAACTAAATTTTGAAACCAAGTTTTTTTTTTTTTTTTTTTTTTGCCAATAGGAATGGAAAAAGAGATATAGAGGAAGAATTTGTTTTCTTTCTTTTTTTTTTTTTTTAGAAAAAAAGGAGTGAAGGAGAGGAAAAAAGAGGGAGAGAAAACGGGAATGTAGCTTTATTCTAAAAATGGGTATTAATAATGGCCGATCAATATTTTCTGTATTTAAGGTGGAGAATGTATATTTTGTATATTTAAAATGGAGAGCTCTATAAATATTTATTGAGTTTACTTGTGCCGGATCTGAGTTCAAGTCCTGGATATCCTTATTAATTTTCTGTCTCGTTGAGTCTAAATCTCTTTATGAGTCTTATGTATCTGGGTGTTAGGATCGTTAGCTCTTATTGTTGCATTTATCCTTTTACCACTATATTTTTGTTGCTTTGAAGTCTATTTTATCAGATGTGAGAATTGCAACTCCTGCTTTTTATTTATTTATTTATTTTTGCTCTCCATTTGGTTGGTAAATCTTTCTCCATCGCTTTAAGTCTTTGTGTATCTTTGGATGTGAAATGGGTCTGGATGTAGCATATTGTTAGGTTTTGGCTGTATCTTTTGATTGGGGGATTTAGTCGACTTAAATTTAGGGTTACAGCCATTTGATGTTAACTGGCTATTTTATCCATTCATTGATGTAAATTCTTCTTTATGTTGATGCTCTTTACTTTTTGGTATATTTTTAGAAAGGCTAATACTGGTTGTTCCTTTATATGTATAATGCTTCTTTCAGAAGCTCTTGTAAAGCTGGCCTGGTGGTAATAAAATCTCTGAGTACTTGCTTGTTCATAAAAGATTTTATTTTTCCTTCGATTGTGAAGCTTAGTTTGGCAGGATATGAAATTCTGGGCTGAAAGTTCTGTACTTTAAGGATGTTGAATATCGGCCCCCACTCTCTTCTGGCTTGTAGGGTTTCTGCTGAGAGATCTGCTGTAAGTCTAATAGGCTTCCCTTTGTGGGTAACCTGACCTTTGTCTGTGGCTGCCCTTAGTATTTTCTCCTTCGTTTCAACCCTGGTGAATCTAACGATTATGTGACTTGAGGTTGCTCTTCTTGAGGAGTATCTTTGTGGTGTTCTCTGTATTACCTGGGGTTGAATATTGTGCTGCTTTGCTAGATTCGGAAAGATTTCCTGAATGATATCCCGAAGAATGCTTTCCAGCTTGGATGCATTCTCTTCGTCGTATTCAGGTACACCTATCAAACGTAAATTAGGTCTTTTCACATAGTCCCATATTTCTCGGAGACTTTGCTCATTCCTTTTTATCCTTCTTTTCCTCTATTCTTGTCTTGTTTTATTTCATTAAGTAGGTCTTCAACCTCTGATATCCTTTCTTCTGCTTGATCAATTCGGCTATTCAAACTTGTGCATATTTCGCTGTTTTTGTGTTGTGTTTTTCAACTCTGTTCATTTATATTCCTCTTTATATTGTCTATAATTGTTAGCATTTTGTCAAACCTTTTTTCAAAGTTCTTAGTTTCTTTGCATTGGGTTAGAACAAGTTCTTTTAACTCCCAGAAGTTTCTTATCATCCACCTTCTGAAGCCTACTTCTAATAATGGCACACAGTCCTTTTCCATCAGGGCTTGTTCCGTTGCTGATGAGGAACTGTAATCCCCTGTAGAGGGAGAGGGGTTCTGATTTTGGGTATTCTCAGCCTTTTTAGGCTGGTTTCTTCCCTTTGTTATAAATTTATCCATCTGTCGTCTTTACGATTACTGCCTTTCTAGTTGGGTTTCTGAGTGGACGTCCAGTTTATTGATTCCCTGTGCTGGAATTCGAGCAACCCACTGCGCTGGCCAAAACAGCAGCGATAAGACTGATGGTGCTCTTCTGCCCGGGAATCTTCTCCTGTTTACTCTGCATGAAGAGCTGCTGCGCCGAGGCGCCGGCAAAACCGCTGCGCCGGCCACAAGAGTCGCGCTGGTGACCCGTGGGGCTCCTCCACTGGGAAACTTCTGGTCCGTGAGCGACGAAAATTCATCTGAAAGTGTGGCGTCCTCTCGTTCTCTGCGCTTTCACTGGGAGCTACAATCCTGAACTGTTAGCGATCAGCCATCTTGGATCTTAATTTTTTTTTTTTTAGATGGAGTTTCGTTCTTGCTGCCCAGGCTGAAGTGTAATGGTGCGATCTTGTCTCACTGCAGCCTCCGCCTTCTGGGTTCAAGTGATCCTCCTGCCTCAGCTTCCCAAGTAGCTGGGATTACAGGGGTGCGCCACCATGCTCAGCTAATTTTGTATTTTCAGTAGAGACAGGGCTTCACCGTGCTGGTCAGGCTGTTCTTGAATTCCTGACTTCAAGTGATCCACCCCCGTTGGTTACCCAAAGTGCTGGGATTACAGGCATGAGCCACCATGCCCAGCTGAAACCTAGATCTTGATGATAGGTATGTATACTCATTTCTACTGGTCACTGCTTTTAGGCTCTCTGAATTGAAAAAGCTAGAAAGAGGATGTGTGTGTTTTGTGTGTGTGTACACAGGCATGGATCCATATACACATGTGCACAATCATACACATACAGGTATTTTTTTATTTCTGTGTCTATTTATCTGTATAAAACCATGAGTGAATACTGATACCTTCAGTTCTAATCCGCTACCACATGGTACATTGCAGTGTTCCCTTTTTTCATATTTGTATTATTTCTTCATCAGTAAAAGCCTGGCTCTCACTGACTTAATGTACTTACTCATTTGCTCATAGGGAGAATGCATGTAACATTGTTTCAAACTTGCTAACACACACTACTGTGGAAAGCAAACCTACCAACCAGAGTTCAGTATTAGTTTATAGATTTTTTTTTTTCTTTAGACACAGGGTAGGCTGGAATGGGGTTGATCAGAGTGGGGTTGGGTGGTTCTCACTATGCTGCCCAGGCTGGTCTTGAACTCCTGGGCTCAAGTGATTTTTCCACTTCAGCCTTCTGAATAGCTAGGGTTTTAGGCATATACCACTGCTTATAGGTTCACAGGTTTTAAAATACACATACTGATGAAATCCCATGTTTACAATTAGTAAGTTTTGATAATTGAGTGATTTTTTTTTTTTTTTTGAGACGGAGTCTCACCCTGTTGCCCAGGCAATGGCACAATCTTGGCTGAGTGATTTCTATCAAAAAGTTTATTTTTGAAATTGCCTTCATAACAATATGTTGATTAGAAGAAACAGCAGTGGCAAAGGTGTTTTTAAATTAATTTAGTATTTTTTATTTTCTGGTAAATAGCCAGAAGTTCTGTGGAGGCCTTTTAATAATGTTATTATTCAAATTTGGTAAGTTCAGTCTTTTTTTAAAAAATTAATTAAATTAGAAAGTAAAGGAATTGGTTAAATTAATATCAAAGATGTATTTCAGGTATGTTTTGAATAATGGACCATTTTGGGGATCTTCTTTTGTTTTTGTTTTTGTAGTTGCACTGTGACTGTTGAGAATGATGACATGAATCTGCAAATTCTGTGTGTGCCAAAAAATTCAGGATAATCACTTTATAGCCACATTTTATTTTATTAAAAATTGTTTTGAAATTATAAAATAGGCCTAAAATTTACTCTTAGCTATTTTTCACTTCATTAGTGTGAAGTATATTCACATTGTTATGTAAAAATATCTCCAGAACTCTTTCATATTGTAAAATACTCTATACTCAATAAATGACAGTTTCCTATATGCTCCTCCCACCCTGGCTCGGTGGTATCCAGCAGACTACTTTCTGTTTCTATGAGTTTAACTAACTCTTGAGACCTCAAACAAGTGAAATCATACAATAGTTTTTCTTTTTCTTTTTCTGACTGGCTTATTTCACTTAGCATAGTAATGTCTTCAAGTTTCATCCATGTTGTACTATGTGTCAGAATTTCTTAATGATTAGTGATGTGGAGCATCCTTTCATATGCTTTTTGGCCATTTGTACATATTTTGGAGAAATATCTATTCAGGTCTTGCCCTTTATTTATTTCTTCTTCTTCTTATTTTTAGCCAGAGTTCTTTTGGCCATTGCCCATTTTTTAACTGGGTTATTTTGTTATTGAGTTGTAGGAGTTCTTTCTGTATTCTGGATATTAACCTTTGATACATGATTTGTAAATACTTTTTCCCCCTTCACAGGTTGCCTTTTCACTCTTTTGATCATTTATTTTGATGTGCAAAAGTTTTAAAGTTTGATTTAGTCCTATTTGTTTACTTTTGCTTTGGTTGCAAAATAACTTTTGATATCATATCCAAGAAATCATTGCTGAATCCAGTGTTCTCCAGCTTATCTCATATATTTTCTTTCAGAAATTTTATAGTTTTAGGTCTTACATTTAGTTGTTCAATCCATTTTGAGTTAATTTTTGTATATGGTGTATACAAAAATATGCACGTTTTTGTATATTTCAGAAAACATGTAACAGATTTGTTTTCTGAACGTAATTTTTGGGTTTATTTATGGGCTCTTGTTTCTGTTCCATTGGTCTGTATGTCTTTATGCCAGTACCTTGCCACAGTCTTGATTACTGTTGCTTTGTAGTTTGTTTAAGGTCAGGAAGTGGGAGGCCTCCAACTTTGTTCTTTTTCAAGACTGTATTGGCGGTTTGGAGTTCTTTGAGATTCCATATAAATTTTAGGGTAATTTTTTTCTGTTTC